TCTACCAACTTTCCATATTAATTTTCTTTATATTATTTTCTTATCAAACACAAGAAAATTAATAATCTAACAAAATTTTAACAAAATTTCGTTACAAAATTTATCAACTTTTCATATAATATTTTTAAACTTTTTATACATAATTTGTTATTCATTTTTTTAGTTAAGGTTGAACAATTTCACAAAGAGTTTTAAAATTTAAAATGTTAGTACATACTAATTTTTACTTTTCTCCAAATCTATATATCATTTTTGATAGTTTCATCCATATCTAAGTTAGGTTAATGTAAATATTTGATCCACTAAGCAAAATCAGAGGGTTCAAGTTTGAAGTGTAGCAAGAATATTTAATTTCTTTTTAAATGTAGTAGACTGCAGTATGGGTGTAAATTTATATATGTATTCATTTAATAACATATAAATATTGTAAACTAAATTTTCATAATAAAAGAATCACAACTGACGTATTCTAGTAAGTACATAGAATATAATTGATTAATTGCAAGTTAGTTTGTTGCTTCGACGGGAATTCGGGACTTTCCAAGAACACTCTTTAATTCCTTCCCGAGTGGAAGGGAGGGGAGGAGATTGTGGATGAGTCAATTGCTTTGGATTGACACTATTATTGACAGCTTTTTTTTTAAGAAGATCCCAATCTTTTTTCCTTTTTCATTGAAACACATTCCTTATTCTTTTGGATACTGAAATCTTTAGTTTCCTTAGAAATCAATTCAACTAACTAATTTGAGCAATACAATAATTGAGCATTGAGGATATGCTACTGGCAGTGTTTCTGGTAAGTAGTACTGGAGATTTTTTGCATTTCAAGTTAGCTCTCTGGCATTCATAATTTCTTCAATTCACCCCACGTACAACTCATCCAATAATCTTTAACTTTTTAAATGGAATTACCATTGTGCTATCTGGGAGGAGGGAATTGGCAAGGACCGACAGCCCAGGTGGACTTCTACTTCTTTATATTATTAATTTGGCATATAAAAAATAAAAATAAAAATTAATTAGCAATGATGTAAATAGTACAGTAATCATTACATGATATGTGGCATATTTGAATGAGTAAGGGAAAATAATATTAAGGAGATATCTTTTGTACAATTCAAAATGAGAAAAATAAATAAAAGTTTTCAATAAATACTTATTTTTAGTCTTTTACCTTAATAAATTTGTAAGTTTTAACCATACACCATACAAATCAAAGAAAATAGTACTTATTTAACATCAAGTTATAACGTTTTGTTAATTCTATTAATTAATTATTAATTTTGTTAACTAACTATTAGTTTTGTTAGTTTACTGTTAACTCTATTAGTTGACTGTTAGTATTCCGTTAACGAAACTAACAAATAAAATTGAATTTAAATTTTATGTTTTCTATAATGGAATGCTAACAGTCAGCTAACAAAACTAACAATCAGATAACATAACATTAAATAAAAGCTATTTTCTTTAACTTGTATAGGTAAGAGACTAAAAATATCATAATATAAAGTGAAGATCTAAAACATACAAATTTATTAAAGTAAATGGTTAAAAGTAGGTTTTTGTTTATCTTAATAAATTTGTATATTTTAACCACACACCAATACGAATTGAAAAAAAAATAATCCTTATTTAACATCAGGTTATAACGTCTGTTTAATTCTATTAGTTGAATATTAGTTTTGTTAACTAACTATTAGTTTTGTTAACTAACTATTAGTTCTGTTAGCTTACTGTTAACTCTATTAGTTAACTATTAGTATTCTGTTAATGAAACTAACAAATAAAATTGAATTTAAATTTTATGTTTTCTATAATGAAATACTAATAGTCAGCTAACAAAACTAGATAATAATCAAGTAACATGACATTAAATAAGAGTTATTTTCTTTAATTTGTATAAGTGGGAGACTAAAAATATCATAATATAAAATGAGAATCTAAAACATACAAATTTATTAAAATAAAAAATTAAAAGTAGGTTTTTGTTTATCTTTCTCTACCGAACACTCTAACTCAAATGCATGATTCATTTGGTGGGTTACGTCACGTGTTCGATGTCGTATGACAATTGCAAATTTTGATTGTAAGATTCTATTATGTGTGTGATTTTCAACTCTTTGTATGAATTTCTTTCTTCTTTTTTGTGATATTTCATATCATAGACTATATAATATGAACTCTTCTCTTAATCTTTCTCCACTCCTCTTAATACTTAAACTTTGTGTTAAAACACCCCATTGGAGGTAGCTCTTTGTATGAATTACTTTTAATTAACATTTGAGAAAGTTTTGAAAATGGTGGATTCAACAAATAAGCCAAGCAGCCTCCTCCCCTGCCGCTATTTTGAACTCTGGCCTCCAAATAAGTTGCTGCTGCTGCTTTCTCGACTTTCTGGGAAAAAACTGCGTTCAAATTGTCACAAATTCCTATTCCTCCACATGAACCACATCAGGCAAACCACAGATGTTGCTTGGCCTTCCTCTAGGGCCAGCAAGATACTAGGCCAGTCATCCAAAAAGTACCCCAGCCTAAGAGCTTGAACGATAAGCTCTCTTACATTATTTTCTTCCAAAAAAAAAGGACAGAACTTTTAACTATTGTGAGCTATTCTAAAAGAAAGGTAGTGTCTTTGCTAAGAACAAGCTCTCTTTATTTTTTTTCGATTTTCCTCTTACTTCTTTTGGGGCAAAAGTCAAATGCAGTGCTAACTACATGTCAGCGCTGCATCGTGAGTGTTGATTCAATGGCTTTGAGCCGTTGGATCTGTTGAATAGTTTGAAAAGGTAAATAATAAGAAAATAAAGAGATTAAAAAAATGATTTAGAAATAATTTTGGTAATGATCTGCATGTACTTATTTAATGACATGTGAAAATTATATAAAAAATGGTAAAAAAATTAAAAAATAATTTTGGGATAATTTTTTTGTATTATATTTTAGTATAACCTGATATATTATTTAAATGATTGATTTTTTTATTTATATAAAACTTATGATATTGAATGCATCAATTCATTTAATGACATATAAAAATTATATTAAAAAGTACTATAAAAATGTTATCCCTATATCACCATCCTATTATCCCTATATCACCACCGAGAGGGATTTACATATGTTTACACTATCAAGTTAGATTTATGATCTATGAGCTTTGGGTTTAGGGTATACCTTTTTTTTTTTTTATGTTAATTAGATTGGCAGTTAGGGCTTTAACTTTATACAAAATATTTATTTTTTTATTATTTTAATTATTTTAATTTAATTTTTTTAATTTACAATTGGATGGGCATGTCAAAAATTCATATGACTTTTGGCAACTGAAAGGCAAATATTCAAAGTAGTGTTTTGAACACATATCCTTTAATAAGTGTTTTTCTGCAAGGACATATTCTGTTAATTAGTGTTTTTTTGGTTAATATAAATTTTTTATAGAATTTAAGTTTGATACTTAATTTTAAGATAAAATTTCTAAATTCTATGGTATCTTATTGAAAGATTTTTAAATCCTTAAGGTTTCTTATTCTCTTGTTATCCTTTTTTCATTTCCCAAGAGGATCAACTCTAGTATATTTAAATTAACTTTTTATTAGATTAATTAAAAAAAATATTTGGTGTGTATTTCTGGGAAGATTTATTTAAATGTACATATAGAAAGAATAGTGTTTTTTATGTATTTTATTTATATTAAATATATAAAATATAAATTTATATAAAATAATATTAACTATGATTTTGGTACTAATCCCTTAATATCTGAAAATTATATGAATCTTGACGTTGAATTTCATATAGTGTTTTTTTATGTATTTTATTTATATTAAATATATAAAATATAAATTTATATAAAATAATATTAATTATGATTTTGGTACTAACCTCTTAATATCTGAAAATTACATGAATCTTGACGTTGAATTTTATAAAGTGAAAACTCTCTCAATATCATTTTTTTATTCATACAAAACTTGAATTTAAAATTTTATTTAAAGAAAATCGAGTTTTTTTTCACTAAAATCAACAAGTTTTTGGTAATATTAATTATAATAATTGAAATCAAAATTAGCTTTTTAATTATTTCTCGCATGTTCTAATGGACACCATATTTCTACCCAGATCTTATTCCAGCCGAAACTCCTTAGCCCACTGACATTTCACAAAAATATGTGCCTGATCTTCCACTCCTTGTCCACATACGTACAGGGCATTTCAGGTCAGTTACAATGCCTATTTGACTGAGTGTCTCTTTTGTAAGCAGCATTTCGCAAATCTAGGACCATATGAATTGCATGATTTTTGTTTTTTTAGGGAGCCTAATTATGCTCCCATGAAGTCCTCATCCGGAAATATCTACCACTTACGACCTCATAGCATAGAGTATCCTGGTTTTGGGTGAGCCTGCAGGCGTATTTTACCAACATAGCCAAGTAAAGGCCTTAAAATCTCTTAACCGCAACCCACCCACACTCTTCGGTGTACGTGGTCAAAATAACTGTTGAATGAGGTTCAGATTTTTGTAGTTTTTGAAGTCACTGTACCATCACAAGTTGCAACAGTTTGGTTTATGAATCTTGATGTAATTTTACCGATAGTTAGGTAGCTTTTGTTAACTTCCTATCAGATTTGACAATTGTATTGGGGGGCTAAAACTAAGCTTCTTGTAGTTGGTAAACTACTTTTCTCTTCCCCGTGATTTTTTGTCTATTTTGTACAAAAGCTGAAATCAATGAAATTTCTGGTGTTCTGCGTTTTTTTTTATCTCTGTTTTTCTCTCCATTTTTCCTCTGTGCAAAAACATTGCAGTAACTTCCTCCCTTCAAAGTTATCACGACACCGAAATGTACTTACTAACCTATTCTGGTCATCAATAAGGCTCTAGGCAACCGGATGCAACTCATATGCCATATTGCACATTTGCACGAAGGGATCACCTGAATTACAGCCTTGATAATCCCTCCTAGCTCTTGACAACAGTTTAGTCTTTCAGACTTCCACCGCTGCAGTTTAGTCTAGACTCTATCCCCGATGGCATTAAAAGCACTCATAGACTTGCTTTTGATAAAATTAACATTTTTTTTTTATAATAGAGAGTAAACTGTTTAATATAATAGAGTTTTAAATCTTTAACCTTCACTCTAAATTAAGATTTTTTAAATTAATGAGTATAATTCTGTCAAACCCTTATTGGTTTGATATAAATTAGTATAAGTTTTAGGAATGTCAAAAAAAAAGTTCTCCATCTTACAAAATTTGAAATTTGTGAGAAAAAAAAACTTATAACTCAAAAAGCAAAATACCTCTCTAATCATTTAAGCAACATTTTTGTACTACGTTCAATATTTTTCTTAGTTTGTTTTGGAAAACATGGATTAGTGAACTAAATAATCTTTAATGAAGAAACTTCGTTCTTAGAATATGTTTAGATTGAAGGACTTGGAGAGAAATGGGAGGAGAGTGAGCAGAAGATGTCTCATTTCCCTTCTTTGGATTTCTTCATTAATAGAAAGGGAGGGAAATGAAGGAGTGATGGATCCCCTTCCGTTCTTCTATTTTCCATCCCGTAAATTAGAGGGATTGTGAGAGTTATGGTTTATAAATTTAACTCTTTTTAATTTTAAAAAAATATATAAATATTTTATTTTAATTATTTTTTTCATTAGAAATTTTTAAAAATTGTATGTTATTTTATTTTATTTTATTTTTAAATTACTTAAGTAAAAATATTATCATTTTCTCTCTTTCATTTTTATTTATCTAAATAAAATTAACATCAATTTTTTTTCTTTTTTATTTCTCCCTTTTTTTTTCCTCCTTTTACTTCTTTTTTTTTTTACTAATTTTTATTCTAACAAACACTCAGGATGAAAAAATAAGTGGTTCACCAGAAATGAATAAAATTTGTATCAATTTCTATGGTCGACTTCAAATAACTAAGACAGCAGGTTTGGTCCAAAACCTTCCCATAGCATCTCTCCTTTATTTAGTCACCTTTTGGTGCTTGTTTTTAAAGCAACAGACAGAGTCGTGCTTAGGCTGGTTTTTGCCCCACTTTCTCAAGCAGAAGAAAGTTATAATAAGGTGACAAAAAGGAACATTTCCTACAGTGTCATTCCTTCATTTGGGAATCTGACAGTGTTACGTCTTTGCCTCATCACCAAACCAATAAATTAAAGAATTCTACCAAGCGGTTTAATGATCGCACGCTTCATTGAGACGGGTGAACTGTTCACCTGATTTGGAGATTGAATCTCCAATTGCTAACACCTAACAATACTAACTTACTAACCATTACCCTTATCAAAAAAAAAAAAAAAAACAATATATTAAAAAAAAAACAAATTCATGCTGATATAATTATAAATTACAACTCGAGAATTTGAAGTGCGCAAAAGATCTTCTACTTTGATCATAAAGTATTTATTTGTCCCATAAAATGGGTCTAAATAATTAAAAACTTAAATTTTTATGTTAAAATTCTTGAATTTAAATTATAAGATGTGTAAAAAAAAATTTTTTTAAATGATTATTTTTTATTATATAATTTATTATTTAATATATAAAAAATAAAATTTATATGTTAATTAATGCATATATCTTGTTTTTACTTGTGTGCCAATTCTTTTGATAATATAATATTTTCAAAAGGACCCTTCATCGGCTATATCATATTCTTGGTCAAAGCAATTCAATATTTAGGCCGAAAACAAAGCGATTCAATATTTAAGAAAAGGTTTTGCTGGCCCAAAAAGGTGGTCCAAACGCATTGCTTTCGCTTCACATAAGTGAGGTGACCCTTCTCCAACATCTAGCATCTAGGTGGGGTCTGCTTGGCGGGACAACTTTGCAGCTCTGGTGTGTGTGATGATGGCGCGTCTGGCCACCAATCCCTAGGATAACAACAAGACTTTGTTGCAGAACTGAGAAAATGAAGTTGGTCTTGCCCAACGGACTAGGCGGCCCACAGAGTGAGGCAATGCGATGACCCACCACATCCCACCTAGTCAAGATTAAATTATTGTAGTATTTAGTATTTAGTTTGACCACTGATATTGGTTAATATGGTTATCTGCAATAACCATCAAATTTCGCTCAGCAACGGATTACCGAACTACCTGTCTCGCTACAGTATTAACGTTCATTTTGAAGATTATTTAAGAATAATTTTTTTATTATTTTTATATAATTTTATATATTATTTAAATAATTAATTTTTTTATTTATTTAAAACTATAAAAATTATATTAAAAAAATAATATAAATATATTATCTTCAAATAATAGCATCTATTCATCTTAAAATATAAATTAAAATATTTTTTTTTGTATTACTTTATTAAAACTACATAATTTTGAAGTAATTTTTCTCATAATCTTTAAAAAATAAAACGAATAAACACTAATATTTTGTTTTTATATCACCACCCTTTCATATTTACTGCCCCTGCAGATACTGAAATTTTGGGCTGTCCCGACCAATTGCACACCCCTATGGACTAGAAGAGACGGGGAAATGGTTTTTGCCTATCAAAACCCATAACAGAAGTCTTTCTCTCTGGATTGGGGGAACAAGGACCTGATGGCTCTGCCACTGCCCCGCTGCCTTCCCTTTTGCCCATCAATCTGCCCTCGAGATACACAGAAAGCACCATCTTATCTATAACGTAATGCACTAAATAAGATGACCTTCTAACATAGAGGAACACCACTCATGCAACATATAAATAATCTAATTTATTCTCATGTCAAAAGATCATTAGTATCAAGTGCTAGGTCTGACAACATCCATAGATATAAGCTTTTTATCTTTTCTTATTCTGTCATTCTGAACTTCCTCGAACAAAAATGGTAAAAAATTCAGCATCGTATGGTACACTTTGGTTCTTCCATCTTATAATCTACAACCCTAGCTGTGTCAAGGATTCGGTTTTAAAGAGGTTGAAAATTAAACACATTATCCTTCAATGAGGAAAAAGAAACAGTAACCATAACTCACAGCAAATCAGGAATGCGCCATACATCTGCCAAAAACTGGACGCATCCCACTCTCACAAACAAACTTTCAGTCAGAAGAAGCCCACAGTTTGATGTCAAACCTTCATTGATTTAGCTCCATCTCCTTCGATCCTCCTCTTCATCTACAGGAGTATACCATGATGGTCGTCGCTTCGAGTTGCTCAGTCGATAATTTAAAAGCACTTCTTCATCACAAAGTGACCTAGTAGATACCAGAACAAGGGTCTTCAAAACTGGAACATCCGACACTCCATTTCTTGATCCCCCAGATTTAAACCAGAAGCTTCCAAACCTCCTCATCTTTACTTCTTCTACACCTCCGAATATTATATTTGGAATATAGGCTCTCATATCCTTTTCAGTCAGTGGGAATTCATAAGGACAAACCATTACATTTGGAACCATTCCTTTTTCTGGGTGATTAGCAAAATGAGCCAAAGCTAGAGGGTTCCTCCGTTCCAACATCTCACCACCAGTCCCCACTCGTGGGCTTGCCAAAGGCTTACTCAGCAGTTTCCAGAACCGGTCTGAACCTTTCTTTGTCACTTCTGAGCTGGGTCTCGTCTCTGGAACTATTGTGCCATCCCAGAATTCACGAGTTTCACCACCAGAGCCCCAAGGTTGGGCATTGATGACAGTCCCATCATATCTTGTGATCAGATATGGGTTTTGAGCATCAACTCTTGGATATCCAGGAATATAACGATAATAAGCAGGGGAAAATATCACACCTGGGTACAAGGCTATTACAGCACCAACATTAGCTTCACCATTCAAAAACAAACCTTGTCCGGCTTCTTTGTGGAGTATTTGAGATGGTTTGAGATCAAGTGTGTAACCAATGAGATCCTTTAATTTCTGTGAGACTTCAGTGCCTTTCAATGGCCTTGTCTGTGGAACAGCTGCACTGAAAAAAAATAAATGGTTAGGACTCATGACAAGTTCCATATTCCACCGGGTATACCATTTTGTCACCAGTGTCGTTGACCCAAATAAATAGCATTTAGGAAAAAAGCTAAATATGATTAAAGTTAAACAAAAGATTAGATAACTGAATATTCTTTAAAGTCTAATTACATTGACAGCATAAATATTCTTTAAAGTCTAATTTCATTGACAGTCCCCTTCTCTCCTCTGCGCTTTCCAAATGAACCTATATGTTGGGATGACCTTATAAACTTAAAATAGCATTATTATTAAATTCTAGTCATTTCTTTTACACTAAATGAAACCACAAGAAACCAAAAATCTACATCCGTCACTCTCTAGGGTAGAGCATCGCTCACTGAGAGTCGTCACTGACTCTGCTCCATTTGCTTTCCTTCTTTGTTTTCTAAGCTTTTTCCTCTCAAATTTGCTCTTTTCTTCCTCTTAGAATCACTAGACCTACTGTTTCTTTTGAATTTTAGGTGTTGATTTCTTTGTAGTTTCCTTCTTCAGATTGAAAAACCCAAAAAATCCCTTCAGTTTTCTCTTTACAACAACTGTACAAAATCTCTATATGGCTTCATTTACTTGCTCTAATAGATAGCTTTCTCTAATGGCTGGGAATGGATTGGTGATTGGGTTGCATTTGGATGGACAGAATGAGGACCAGATTTTGTTTACAGTGGCTGGGCATGTGATTTCTATCAACCCAGTCCATCAGAACAAAGTTTATGGAGTTCTTGCAAAGGCCTGGGTGGACTGATGAGACTTCCAGCTAAATGAATTGGAGCAAAACCTTTATACTATCTCCTTTATGTCTGAAACTGATTTGAATTATATACTGGAGAATGCTCCACAGTTGGTGGATGGTTTTTAAGTTTTTTTTGTTTAATATCAAGAGGTGGGAAGTGGGTACTTCGTTGGCTGATATTGATTTCTCACTAGCGCCTTTTTGGATTTATTAGGTGTAGAGTCATGGTATAAGTTAATAAACCTTTGATTCCAGGATTTTGGGCCCAATCAGATTGTAAGTGGATGAGTTTAAAATAAGAAAGGCTTTCTGATTTTTGTTATAACTGTGGGAGATTGGCACATTGTAAGAAGGTTTGTGGTGAGGAAACGGCTAGATCAGTTCTAAATCCAAACGAGGACATGTACGGGGGGATTGGCTGTGTACTCAACAAGGTAGAGAGTTGGCTAGGAATCCAGGTAGAGTTCATACAGTGTTTAGAAGGAGAATAGCCTATGATTAACTTACTCCCCTTCTATGGAGTATTGTGGGAGAGGCTCAGGCAAAGAGAAAATGTGTGATTCCCCCTCCAAACTTAGTGATACTTGTGTTGCACTGGAGCTAACTCCTATGGGTGTAGGCAGCATTCCAGAAGCATTAAGAAAAGACCCAAGACACAGGCTTGTTTTGCTACTCCTTTGAAAGGGAAAGAACCAACTGGTAGCTCTATCTCTTCCAATGCGACAGGCAACTGGGGAAGGTTCTTCCAAGGGTAACCTTGATATCATTCCTGTTAAGGAATCTCTTTTGGGGATACTACTTGCAGACTAATCAAGTGCAAAGCAATGAGATTGGTAGTGCTATAGTTCCTGTGTCTAGCTACACTGTTGTGGGAGATAATAAGAAAGCAATCTACTAAGTTGAAATTCCTGAAGAAGAGACATATGGTCACCGCAAGAAACTAAATATTATGACCTCTCCTGTCTCTACCGTACAAGTTCAATAGGATAAAGCACTGCAAAGTTTGAAACACAAGATGAATAGATCTAAGAGCCCTATCAGTCCTACTATGAAGAACTTGAAACCAAGTCTAGTGCTGAGGCAAAGTCATAACTGAAAAAGAAAACCCCTGAAAAGAAAAACCATAATTCATTCAATACTGCCCAGTACTGTGAAGACAAAAACAAAAAGCTGTTCAGAACAGAAAGCTATGAAGAAATAAAAAGGAACCAGGAAAAAAGGAACTGCACAGGTAAGTACGCAAGTTGATGAGAAAAGTTTGGTTAATGTGCCAATTACTAATATAGATGTTTTTGTTTTCGGAAGGAAATCTGATGATGGGCTTAATGTTACCCAAAAAGCACCATGCAGTCATGAGTCTGTGTTGGTTCACTGGCCAGAGGTTGGGGTCGCTCTTGGCCTTTAGGTTGCTAGAAAGTCTTCATATTTTAGACCATGTTACCCTTTCTATTAGGTGTTTTTGTTCTGCTTTTGCAATGCGTAGATTAGACCTCTTGGTTTTTTTGTTGGCTTCTTTTGTCCTGTGGATAATATGAGTAGAGGTGGTTATGCATTTGTGTTCAAGTTGAAGGTAGGTTGGAGTAGCCTGTTGAACTGGAGAATGATTGAAGGAGATGTCACTAGTCTTGGTATGGATTTTCTTTGCTTTTACTTGGGACAGTGCTTCAGTCTCAAGTTTAGTCAGGAGATGTCAACCATAACACTCAAGTTGGTTCATCAGGCTTCTCAGATTCCCTGCTGGTGCTTCTAGGGTTCCCTGGCATGAGATGACTGTTTCAGGCTGGTTACTGGTGGTTTTTTCCATATTCTGCAGCTGTAAGACCTTGAATCTACATTCTGCCTTTGCACATCCTTTTCTGGTGAGGGGAACAAAGATCAGGCTGTTAAAGAGCTTCTTTTGGGGAGGTTGTGTCCAAAACAAGTTGTTTGAACCACCCCTTCCTCAAGCGAAAGTTTGCAGGGTCATACAGGCCAACTGGTGCTGTGTTTCTGTTTTATTAGAGATTTCGTTTATGTTTTTCTGTGTTTATGTTTGTCTTTAGTATTTGTGTCGTGTAAGACTTCATAAGAATATTTAGTAGAGTATGTTTCTTTGATGGCTAAAAAGAGAAAGAAAAAAAAAAAAAAAAGAAAGAAAGAAACCCAACGATCGACATGATTAGAGAGATCAAACACAATAGTGAGAAAACTTAAAAGAGCTTCTTTTGGCAAGGTTGTGCCCCAAATAGACCTAGCAAAATTGGACCCAATCTGAATATCCGAACCAACCCACTCCTCATGGGTAGGATCATGGGTCAGGGTATTAATCTAGAATCGTCATACCAAAATTACCCAGACCCAACTGGGTTGGCTCAAGGTCAGATCAGGTCAACCCAAAGTGAATCGACTAAAATTAATTAATTTTTTTAATTTAAAATTTAGATTAATTATACTTTTAATTTTAACTTTTAAAAATAAAATAAAATTAAATATTATAAAATGATTATTATTTATTAGATTATTAGTTTTAATAGTAATTTAATAGATTTTTTCAACTAAACAATTAATTAATATTAAATTTTTTTAAAGAAAAATATAGAAAATATTGAATTTTTTTTTTTTAAAGTTGGGTCCACCCAACTCAATCCAGGACCCATGTGAGTGGGTCATGGGTTTATCCACTTTAATTTGAATCTGAATGACCCAAACCAATAAACCTGGAATTCAAGATGATCCAATCTGAAGCCACCTGATCCAACCTGTTTGCTAGGTCTAGCCCCAAACAAGCTGTTTGGACATCCCCTTCCTCAAATGAAGTTTGCAGGGTCATATTCTCCAATTGATGCTGTGTTTCTTGTGTTTCTGTCTTGTTAGATTTCGTTTATGTTTTCCTGTGTTTATGTTTGTCTTTGGTAGTGTTGTGTAAGACTTTATAAGGGTATTTAATAGAGTATGTTTCTTTCATGACCAAACCCAAAAAAAAAAAGAGTAGAAAAAAACCTAACAATCTACATCATTAGTGAGATCAACCACAAGAGTAAGAGAACTTGAAGAGATTAATTTAGGTTTAAAATAACCCACATATCACATGCAAAAGTCCCTTTGTGATAAAACTTTCCAAAATGTTTATTAAAAACAAATAAGATAGAAAGCAAACAAATACTCACCAGGAAAGCCAGAAGGTGAGCTGCTGTTTCCAACAGCAAAGCTAAGACCACTTCTACGAGGAGCAGCATTCAATCGTGCTGGTGATTCAGGTGACTCATCGATTTTCATAGTCTCAGGAAGAAGAATTTCATCCATAGAAGTGCAGAAGTCCCTAATTTGATCATGAATGTTTTCTTGGACTTGCTTTTGTTGATCTGCAAGAGAGGCTTTACCAGCCATGTTAATGATTTCCTCTGCATCTGCCTCATCAGCATCCTTTCCCAAACGATTGTAGCTGACACAGAAAATTTTGCATGAGCAAAGGTTTAAAATAGACAGTAGAAGAAGACTTACAGAGGAATAAAAAAAGTCCACTCAAATAAAATGTCACATGGCACACATAAATCAATACTAGATTACTTGACTGTCTGATTCTAAACTTCTTCTCTTTCAGGTCTTCAGTTCAATGGTTAGAGGTCGATGTTTATCTGGAGCCCCAGTGGGGCAGTAGCTGAGAGATAGAATGGAGGGATGAATGAATTCTCTACCCACATCCAACAAGGATTTCCATAATGGCCCTCTACCCTTTCTAATCATAGAGTGTAAAAAGAAGGCATGAAAGAAACCAGAAAAAGAACTAAAGAAGAAGGCACCCCAGTCCAGCAAAAACCATGGCCCTTGGAGTCTTGCACTAAACTCTTATGACAGGACTCGTAGAGCTGATTATATAAACCATGCCTCAGGAGTATACACACCTTTATAAATAAAGGGGGTTTGAAATACAATAGTAGCTAGAGATACATTATGTGCAGAACAGAAAAGCACACCTAATATTTGATTCATTGGATACTGTGCAGGCTAAATCATTTGTATGGATTAAGCACAAGGTGGAGGGGTGTGTTTTCTTTTTGTGGATGGCAATCAAGACTGGATGAATGTGCACCAGCTGTTAGAAGGCATAGAAGCTGCTTGAAACAGTATCATAAACATCACAAGATGCACGGATGAATGTTTAGAAACAGTCGAGTAGACTTCGTTTGTGTTTTATGGTGTGGATTCATTATGGTTGAAGCAATTGGAATGCAGGTATGGCTGGTATTGAAAATACAGTGTACAGGGTATTTAAATATGGGCTGGAGTATCCTTTGTACTCTATTTATAATAAAACTTAATTCTGCTGATCAAATATATATATATATATATTTGATTCATTAAAAAACTCAAAACTGACCTGGTATATAGGAAAAGGCGATTTATGTCTGCTTCAAACTGTAGATGCCTTGGATCCCTAGCAAACATGGGACTCTTTGCAAGAGCTTTTACAGCCTGAAATATCATAAAAAGAAAAAAATATTATTCAGAATGCATAAAAGGGCGTCTTGTAACTCCCTGGTCAGTCCATCAATATATCACCTAAAAAAGACCATTTAAACCAAATTTGGAACTTAATCAATGAGATCAAAACAAGAAAGAGAAATTTGTAGCTTGAAGTTGGAGTTCATCTCCATTCCATTGAATAAGGTGGATGCATGTGCACTGATATCCTGTAAGTAGTAGTTTGAAATGGGTTACGAACAATAGATGCCCACTCAAATACATTTTCAGCTCCATGAAAACCAGCAAAAATTTAAGAAAACCTTGATTTCAGATGTCAAAGGATCCAGTAAAATATTTTCAATTTGCATTCACAACAGATTCGACTGATCTCATAAATCAAACAGTTCACAGAAAATTCCTTTTCAAATTACACAAATGGGTACAGATGACTTCAATCAGCACATGTAATTACAGTTGCAACAGAATTACGTCAGAACTACCACAAATCATCCCAACAGGTTATTAGAACTCCCTCATATTTAGGAGTTCTTCACTTGAAAGAAGTCCAATTTCAATTTTTCGCTTAAATGACTCATTTTTATTGCATGCCCACATACCCCTTTTCACTTTCCATTAATCATCTAAGAAGAAATGTTACAGTTCTTCAAAAACCCAACTCCTCCTCAGACATTTTTTCATCGATTATTAAAATCTCAAACAGAGAATTCTCTGCTTCAATCTACTACTACTACCTACAGTAACCAGCGGCAATACCTAAGGTCCCGAATAGAGAAAAGACAAAAGATCAATGGATTAGGAACATCTGTGGTTATAAATAACGAAAAAAGAGAGAAAAATTGAACTTACCTCCTGAAATTTGTTAAAGAGAAACGCCATTGCCAAAGCAGCTGCCCCTCTTCGCACTGTACTCTCCTTCGATTCAGAGGAAGTGGGAAGAGGGAGAAGCACTGCCGGCGTGCGGATATGCCGGTGCATATGTTTCCATTTGGGCTGGGCCATATCCGCAATCTGTTTTCTCTTTTGGGTCCTCAACCGGGTTTCGGTTTTACACTTGCACCAAATATTCCAAATTCCAACACCGAATTGAAAGCCCAAGAAATATCCTTGTGTTGTGTGTGTCCGAATTGTTACCGCCACAAAAAGGAAAAGGCTTCCTATAGGTTTTTTATGATTTCTTCTAAGTCTAAAATTTTTAATTTTATTTTTTTGTCTTAACGTTTAATTTTTAAATTATTAAGCATTTAAATTTATAAATATTAAATTAAAATTTTAAAATCTAAATTTCAATATATATATTTTTGAACATTTTTGTCATGGGACCTCTTAGAACCGTTGTCATTGAAGAGAAAAAGATGAATCTCACAAAAGTGGCTAACGCCACTTAACCCATAAGGTCAGATTCTTAAATTTCAATATATTAAACATTAAATTTAAAAAGATTTAAACCCAACATCATAAAATATAAAATCTAAACAGTTTAAATTCTAATGCTTTAAATACTAAATTTTAAAAAAATTTAAACACTAAACCCTAATACTTTAAACACAAATTTCTAAAAATTTTAAAACCTAGCAAGATTAGTTTAAATTAGTTTTGACTAAAAAATTAAGTGAATTAAAATAAATTTAAATGGTTAAAAATAAAGACTAAATAACGAATTTATCTTAAAAGAAAAATGAAACTTAGATCTCAGTTAAAATTGGCTGATCGGCCTGAAGGGGGTCGGTCACCCTATCATTGTCCAAAACAACAACAAAAGAGAATAAATGACTCCACTAAACCAAATGCTTCATCTCACTCGATTAATAGTTGGAAAGTCCTGGTGATACATATTATGCGTGAGAGGAATTTTTGTGCTGATACCATGGCATCTGGATTCCATCATTTAAGCAGAGGTTTCCACTTCTTTGAGGAGCCATTGGACCAAGTTTGAGACCACTTAATGGAAGACATGCCACTAGATAATCTTTTAGTACTTTATATCACTGTCCTATGTACCCAAAAAACAAAAAATAAAATTAAAAACAAACATGCCTTTAATTGTTAAAACTATTTTGCCCCTTCTTCCCAAAACAAACCCATCCTTTTCCTTTTTAATTCACTTGTTATAAAAAATTAACAAAGTATTTAGATAGAAACATGAATTTTATCAATTTTTTATTTAAAGAGATAAACTTTTTGACAAAATGTTTAGATAGAAACATGAATTTTATCTATTTTTGTATTGAAAGATTTAAACTCTTTTAGATTCTAATTAAGTAGTAAACTTTTATTTTTATTTAAAAATATGAATATCATTGTATTTCAATTAAAATTATTGTTTGTGACATCATCATCGATATCTAATAAATTATTAAATAGACTAAATTATAAAATTCATACCTTTATTAAAAGAATTTATTACCTAATTTATAAACTCACTAATTTATAAACTCAAAAGTTTATATTTTAAAATAAAAAAATGACAAATTTGTTTTTTTATTTACATATCTTCTCCAAAAATCAAGATTAATGGAGCAAAATAGAAAAAAATATCAAAGCAGAAACATATTTGAATTGAAATATTCTACAAATCTAAAATCTCAACTCTAGAGATTGAAAAATATCTAAGAAAGGAACCAACATGCAATCTATAGGTAAATTATATGATATATGCTATTTAAGGTTGGCATGTTGAACTTGAATGATGCTATGGCTGTCAAATAAGAGTGTGGCTATGCTCACTCATTTATTTATTAAAGCACATAATATTATTTAAAAAATATTGATTTTATTTGATTTGATTATTAAAAAAATTAATAAATAATAAAACAAGTGATAGTTATTATTTAATAAATTAAAATAAATTTATAAACTAATATTTTTAAATATTATAACAAATTATTTAAAAAAAAACTACCAATATCAATCAAATTAAACTCAATTTATATGACTTAACGAATTGTTGGATGCCATAACCACACCCTTAAATACGGGTTAATTATGTATTTATATTTTACCTTATGTATATTGCCGTTATAATTTTGTAGAGTTAAAAATGATGTGCCACTTGGACAACTCGGGTAAATTCATAGTATTTAGACTTTAGAAATAATTAAGATTTATTAACGATTTAAATAATTCAGTGATCATTTTTTTCCATTGAAAATAAGGAGTTTTGAATTCGAGTCGCATAACATGTAAGCGAGATGAAATAAAAGATAAGAAATGGTTATCTTCCATTGTACAACCAAAATAAAAAAAAAATAATCAAGATTTTTTTTTTCTACAATACTATAGTTATAATATGATGTAAAATTATAAATTTATAATATTATATTATATTAAATAAAATATGATGTGATATTAAATAAATATATATATAACATTATAGATGAATCCTTAAATAAGAAGGGTTAGTTATATAATAATATATTATAAAGGTGTGTTTGTTTTGACTTTTTGCAAACAATTATCAATTGTTATTTTAATTAAAGTGTTTAAATATTTTGAATTATAAATAATAATAATTATTAGTCGTCAGATATTAACTATCAAGCCCTTACAATGTTACATCACATTATAACTATAGTATTTATATTTTTTATACAAATTTTTATATAATTTTACATTATAATT